TTCCTATTTTTTTACCTTTCCTTTCCTTTTTTTAATCTCCACCCTAGGGTATTTTTTCCATTACTTCTCAGAGTGGAGGGGAGAGAAAGAGAGAGAAACATCAACATGAGAGAGACAGCGATTGGTTGCCTCCCGTATGTGCCCCGACTGGATCGAGCCTGCAACTGAGGTACGTGCACTTGGCTGGAATTGAACCCGGGACCCTTCAGTCCGAGGGCTCTAACCACCGAGACAAACAGGCCAGGGCTATTTTTGACCTTTTCACTTCCAGTAGTGTTTCTCTTCCTCCTGTCGCCACTCACATGACCACAACCCAGGGCACCACCAGGAACAGCACCGCACTCAAGGCTAAGCGTGCCAGCCTAGGCCCACCCACCACTTCGCGCTCTTCCAGCGCCCTGGAATTACTGCTCCTGCTCCGGAGTCTACTTGGAACGCTTGCCAGCGAACTCCTGGACCAACTCGTCACCAGAGAATGCTGTGCTCTTACTGGCTCTGGCTAATCAGGACCCACCCCTGGATGTGGCGATGGGCCAGTGGATGTTGGGAACATTACCCTCAACTACAGCCCTACGTTCACTTTCAGTATCTTTGCTTTTCTTTCTCTGTTGAAGTTAGCTGGCAAAGCCCTGACTAGACCCAACCTGCCTCCCCATCCCGGGTGGAAATTCTATTTCCCTAGTGTATTTGTTTTCCTGTTCCCCAAGACAACTATTTCACGGTGATGCACTACATAACCACGTTTCGTCAGTGGCGGGCCACATATACCACCATGGTCCCATAAGATTATAATGGTGCCCTGGCAGGTTTGACTCAGTGGTTAGATCGTCAGCCCACGGACTGAAGGGTCCTGGGTTCAATTCCAGCCACGGGCATGTACCTCAGTTGCAAGCTGCATCCCTGGTCCTGGTTGGGGTGTTGCGGGAGGCAACAAGTCGATGTGTCTCTCTCATATCAATGTTTCTCTCTTTCTCCCCCTTCTACTTCTTCTAAAAAGCAAAGGAGGAAATATCCTCAGGTGAGACACAAGAAAGAAAGAAAACAAGAAGGATTATAATGGAGCTGAATTTTCTCTAAGAAATGGAAGGGTGGCTCAGTGGTTGAGTGTCGATCTATGAACCAGGAGGTCACAGTTGGTTGGGGTACATGCTGAGGTTTCGGGCTCAATCCCCAGTAGGGGGCGTGCAGGAGGCAGCTGATCAATGACTCTCATCACTGATGTTTCAATCTCTTCCCTCTCCCTTCCTCTCTGAAATTAATAAAAAAAATGTGGCCCAGGAATTTTTTCTCTGATGTGATTGTTAGACAGACATGAGCAGAGCAAGGACAATGGCCAGGTACAAAACCCCACAAAGGCAGAAAGCCTTTTGCCTAGCAAGAGGGAAAACAAGAACCTTGTCCCCAGGGTAATCTACCTTCCCCTAGCATACCCTGAGCATGTGGCTTGGACCCACTGAGCTTCATCCTTAAAGATAACATCTACGCCTCAGTTGTATTTCAGCTCCAGGCCCAAAAAAGCAGCAAAACCAGACAAGTGGTGCAGTGGCTGTCTCAGGACCGGCTACATTGACTAATGACCCCCTGCCCCAGCACCGACCAATCAGTGGAGACCATGACCCTGAAAGAGCTGATGAACCCTCTATTGAGACCCTCCCGAGACCTCCCCTAAGATTTCCAACTGCAAGAGATAAATAAGCTCAGGACAAAGGACCCAGTGTGTACTCCCCACTAGGGGAGCATGCTAGCAGTATCTCCATCCCCCATCTTCCCTCCGAGGGGACCCCACGAGACTTGCAACCAGGGGAGCGATGGGCAACAGCAGCTCGTCCTGGGCTTACCCCCTGAACCTGTCTCCAAGGCCTGTTTCTGACTCCTCAGTGAGCCAAGGCAGCCCAGCCTATGCTCTCCTGTTACTTCTACACATTTTCCTTGTTTCACAGTATATTTTTGCTGCCATCATGGACCCAATATCCTTTGACTCAGTGTTGTGTAGCCTTTCCCTTCGGATATCCCCATCCCCTTTTCCTTAAATAATTTATTCACTGAGATGGTTATTTCGCCTGCCCATACACCACCAACCTTAACCTTTCAGGGATCACTACCTGTAGGACTTGGTGATAGATTCCATCCCACAGCACAATTTTGAGCGCAGATGACATCCCAGTCACTGACCTGTTTCAGCAGAGGAGCCTGTCCCCTCAGCCCTACAGCCCTCCCAGATCTATCTTGATGGTCAGAGCACATTGCTGTAAATTATTGAGGAACTAAGATCCTGTACAAGGACACAGGTCCACAGGGGCTACCTTAACAAGTATTAAATACCACTGCCACTTTAGTAAAAGCTTTCTGTGGTAGTGTGGTCAGCCTGTTCCTGTACTTAGGAAATATTTTTTGGTTGTAATGGTAGAAAGTAGGTTGTTTTATTTCTTCTACCATTTCAATGCCAGAGAGCCCTTTGAGCAAGATAGGGTAATGATGCAAAATACGAATTTCTGAAGTCAAAATACTGAGTCCTCAGCCCTACACCCGTTTTTATGCATACCGAAGTTTATCTATTGCTCCAGCATGCAATAGCCAAAACCAGGTTGCCATGGCAATCCTCTCCGTTCCTTTATCTCTCCATCTTAATTATTCCTTCTGACCCCCAGGCCAAGTTTTACTCCCTCCTTAGTCACTATCCCGGTGATCCACACCTTGCTCAGCCAGTTTCTCCTCGGTATTTCCAATCAATCCAGCTAACATCCCAGTTCGTGGAGCAGCATGGACAGCCTTAACATTCTATTTGACCCTGTTAGCAAGCAAGCAGGGGGCGGGTTTGCGGGAGAGTTTATAAAATCTACAGTAGTGTAATGTTCTAGGCCTTCATTCACCATTAAGACACCCAGAGCAACTCCCAGTCCTGCAAGCTCCACTCAGTCAATGCCCTCCACAGGTGTGCCATTTTAAATTTTTTATACTTTATTTTTTACTGTACCATTTCCTACTCACCATTGTTAAAATTGCCTCCAGTATTCGATACAGGTTTGTAGCCTAGGATCAGTAGGCTATACCACTAGGTTTAAGTGCGCTCTGATAGTCACAAGATGAAACCACTCAACAATGTACTTCTCAGAACACATTCGGTTGTTAGCAACACATTCCTGTACATCTCTTTTCTCACACTCACCAAAAAGGTTCTTTTTTTTTTACCAAATTTAATTTGACTCAAGATGAATTGCCTTGGCTGGAGTGGCTGTTGATTGGGTGCCATCCTGTGCACCAAGACTACTGGTTCGATTCTGGTGAGGGTACATGCCGAGGTTGTGGGCTCAATCCTGGGTAGGGGGTATGCAAGATAAAGCTGATGTTTCTCCCTCTTTAAAAAAAATCTTAGCTGTGGGCTCAATCCCTGGTGGGGGGGTGGGGGTGGTGCAGGAGGCAGCCAATCAATGACTCATCATTGATGTTTCTATCCCTCTCCCCCTTCCTCTCTGAAATAAAAATCTTAGAAAATAAGTTTCACTCTCCATGAATAGAACAACTTTTAATGTATTTTTGCTTTCTCCTAGATTCTGGAAATATAGTCCTAAATACATTTCCTTGATACTACCATGTTTCTTTACTAGCTAATATATACATGTGTTTTAACCATTTACTAATAAATTACCATTAGCTTGACTACAAACTCTTGGTTTTCCTGTTACCAGTATCAATGCATGGTGTTTTATTTCCTTTCTAATCACTACCATTTTACTGTCTAGGCCCCCGAGTGTATCAACAGAAACCATGATAGCAAGCATCCTCTTCTTCCTCACGCCAAAGGTGACAGAACATATCCGACGCCTGATGTGACATGGTACCCAACTCCTTACCACTCTCCCATGCAAATTCTGCTCCAGTCACATAGGTCTTCTGATGAAGGAATGTGAGGCATTAATTGTTAAGCTGGAGAGCGAGGCTCAAGGTCTGTCAAAAGCTAAGAGGCAGAGCTGTCAGATGAGGAAACCACTTTGCTCTTGTGCAAAGCCTGGCTTCTCCAGTCTCACGCTGGCTAGTGCATCTGATTGGCAGACTAATGTTCTGAACTCACATCCTGGCTACTAGAAAGATGAATGCATTCTCTGGGTCCTCTTACAGTTATAAGCTATCTAATATTTACACAAGATGAACGAATTCATCAAAGTGCTGGGCAACAGAACACAATATAAAAAAGAGCAGTTTTATAACACTGGCAGAAAAATTATCACAAAAATCTTCCACTGTACTCTTGCTAACAGACTATTTTCCTAAAGGGCAAAGAGCTGGCCCAATATTTGGAAAAGGAGCTTCAGAGTGTTGACAATAGCCTAGCCCATTTAAATGTTATTTCTCCACATTATTCAGCAGTCCCCTAGAACCAATTACCAGCGTCTCAATCCTGTGAATCTGGAGCACATTCTGGAAAGGGGCACCACCACCTGGACTCTCACAGCACTGCAGGACACTTGCACGTGTCCAACTAGCCTATTCTATATCTCCATCATCTTTTGCCCCTCAAAGCAGGCAAAGGACGATCCAAAATGAGTCTCTTGACAGTAGTCATCAATTATTCCATAATGGAAGAACATTTAACAAGACATTATAAAAACATAGCCAGAACAGGCTTAGGTTACAAGGGGACTAAGACCACAAAATTAATTTTCCTTTCTTCAGCAGCCGAGGGGCATTACATTATTTGTTACCATCTCTTCTGACCACTCAAAGGAGCTGAGTGTGTGTTCACTGCACTCTGTGGCAGACACTGGATAACTAACTCTTAACGTGGGTATCTTCAACTGGCAGGTTGAAATAACTCCCACAGGAATAGAAATAAGTGGTTTCCAGGGATTAGAACTGTTAGTCTGTACTAGAGGGGACCTTGCCCTTTTACCACTGCCTCCCAGCAAAAGAAATTTACAAAGAGGAAAAGGACCAGATTATCACAGTAAATTAAGTTAAGGATCCTACTAAGGACCATAAACCAAAATAAAACAAGACAGAAATTTACACAAAGACAATTATTTAAGACCTTTATTAACAGGTGCTTGCAGTTTGTTGACTTTTTTGAAAAAATCAAGTTGTAAACTTTTATTACAAATTAAAAATGAGGTTCTTAAAAATCTCAACTTGACCAGATATGAAACAATTTAAAAACCTTTAAAGGTGTATTGAGAAAAACCAGGCTTTTTTTTTTTTCTTAAAAAACACGTTTGTCATTACCAAAAAGAGACGTCTTTAGATAAAAATAATAAAAACCCCATGCTGCATAGATAATGCAGATAGTTCTAGTTATCTGGTCAACGGGCAAAAAGCAAGCACTTAGGTCTTCAGCTCCAATCTTTTGTTCATTTCTTATTGCTGGAATTTCATATTCATTTCTTCTTATTGGATGACTAAACTGTAAAAGAAAAAAAAAGATTATCTTGTACAATTCACTGTAATGCTCTTTCAGTATACCAAACTGTGCCAGGTCACATCAAGCTAAGCAGTAAAGGCATTCACAAACCTCAAACTGGTTTATCCTAAGACAGTGATATACAACAGGGGTGGACACTGCTGTGACAACATGGTTACTTATAGGTTTCTGGATGACCGTTGCCACCCAAAAAATAGTACAGAGGGAACAAAACCGAAAGGCATCACTGGCTAAAAATGCTAATTCCAGAGCCAGACAATTACAAGCCTCTCAGTATCAAGTAATAAGGAATACCTTACTTTTGAAATTGATAATATGTCAAAGTCATCACTTTCTCCAAAGAGACTATACTGGTGGTCATCACCTAGGTTATTAATTCTAGTAGCTATCCCATTTCTTTTTGAAAATGCAGAATAACACAATATAATTAACATACTTCTTAGGGCAAGGTTGGCCAAACTTTTCTCAAATGGTGAAATCACGCAATACATTCAGAAAAGTTTGAAAAGCCCCCAAATATTCAACATACAATGTGAAATGGGGTTTTTCTCCTGCATTAATGAACACTACTCATGACTGCTCAGAGGCCAGAGGCCATTTAGGCTAAATTACCCGGATGATGGTAGAGATGGTAAGCCGGCATTTACTCAGCCCCGCCCTGCTCAGCCTCGGGAGCGGACGAATTCTCAGCTGGTGGATCGGCTGCTTTTGTCTCTTTGCCATCTTGTGGTTTAGGGTTTTCCGGGCGTCTGCGTCGGTAATTGAAGTTGCGGCGGTACCGACGTTGAGGTGGCTGCTGACCTTGGGTCTCATCTCCTTGATTTTCCTTATCTTCTTCATTGCCGTCCTCTCTGGGCTGTCTTTGGCGAGGAGGGCCCCTGGAATGAACATTGTGCAAGCTCTCAATGATAAAACCTTTCTTTAACCTACCCACTAGTTTAACACCATATCTGGTTCTTCCAGTAGCACAATCTATTACAAAATTAACCATGAAATGACTTTTAAAAGGCAGGAAACCAAACCAAAGAAACCAAAGAAAAGAAAAGAAACCAAACCAAAGAAAAGATGCCCTCTTCATATAAATGAAAGTATAAGTCCCTGGGGAAATGCACGAGACACCACCTCATACCCACCAGGATGGCCATAATCAAAAGGTCGAGAAATAACCAGAGATGGTGAAGATGTGAAAAAAATTTTTTCTTTTTTTTTTAAAAAAGGAGGCAAACAACCCAAGTGTCTAACAAGTGATCAACGAAGAAACAAATGTGATGTCCCTAGAATAGAATGTGATTTGGCCAAAAAAAGGAATGCTCCATGCTACAACATGGATGAACTTTAAAAATAGGCAAAGTGAAAGAAGCCAGGTAAAAGAAAGACACATTATGTGATTCTACTTGTATGATACGTCCAAATTAGGCAAATGCAGAGACAGAAAGTGGATCAGTGGTAGCCAGGGGCTGGGGTAGAGGGGAATGGAGAGGGCTTTATTGGAAGGTGATGAAAAATGCCTGGAATTAGGATACTGGTAATGGTTGCATAACTTGGTGATTAAAAAAACAAACAAACCACAAACCAAAACCCACCAAAAACCACACCAGAGCCTGTGCACACTTAGAAGAAAAAGAGTTCAATCGTTACATTCTAGCAATTATCTTCCATGGTCTAAAAGTAGATTATCAGAACCATAAACAGTATCAGGAGTTTTAATCAACCAAGAAAAGACACTGTGACTTTTTTTTGCTGGTGAGTATAAAATTTCCATTTAGAGCTCTACCTTCCGTTTCACCTGTAAATCCAACCTCCCACCTACTTCCCCCAACCACTACCCCATCTCCTGAAAACCTTTCCATATATATAATGTATTTTTTGAACTTATGGTCTTTGGCAAAATTGCTGTGGCTTTCCCCTGCAGCCTGTAAGTGGTGGCTGTCCCACCCCACCACTGTGACTTCTCAGTCTATTCTCCCCATTTCTTTCTAAAACCCCAAGTCCTCAAATTTCACGTCAGGCTAACATTCCATTTACTATCCTTTTCCTGTTAGAGTAAAAATCTCCTGTGGTTTCCTACCTGGGTCTTCTCAAGTTCAAGCGGTCCACTCTCCAATCACCCCTTCCCATTTTCTAAGTTTATCCCTTCTTGTCCCCCCATACCTCCTTTCCACTAGGATCTATAATCCAGTGAACCTGTCACCTATGTCCATAACTCTCGCCAAATCCTCCTCTTTTCTTCACCCAATACAAAGTCCACCAACCCCAACCCTAGTATCATTTGGATAAACAAATGCCAGACAAATCCAACTCTCCGCCCCATCAGAGCCTGTTCCTCAAAATGGTTCAAAAAGTGCGCTCACTTTAAATTTGTGATCACTACTCTATTATTTGATTCCCTCTGTTTCTTCTAGAGATAATTTTATATCTTTATTACAAGTATTTTCAAACCTCCTCTCTTACCTCTCCTTTTGACTCCACTAACACAGTGGTGCTTGTGTACTACTCTGGGCTTCTTACACGTGAAACACCCATGGTTCCTAGCATAAGACCAACCTCCTACTTGTGGAAAAAATCCTATCCTAACACAATAATTTCAGCAATTACTTTCCTGCCAACTGTCCTGCTGCATTCTTCAGTCTATAAATGTGGATTTTCCTGACTGCTACCTCATTTGTCTTCCTTTCAGCAAAACTCCTATACTCATCTCAGACTTCAACATGCTCTTGGACATACACCAATCAGGATTCTGCCCCATGTACATGTCATTTACTAACCATTTTGGGGGGATAAAATCCTGGGTAAACAGTTTGGAAAGCCCTGTGTTCATCAATGGATTCACTGTAAACTTTATGGCAATTTGTGTCAACATAGCAACTATCTGGCACTGTCACCTAATCGATCCATTCAAACAAGACCATTAGGTCAACTAAACCAAAAGGCAAACAGTAAAACTGAAGCACTTGCCCTGGCCAGTGTGGCTCAGTTGGTTGGAGCACCACCCCATACACCAAAAGGTGACGGGTTCCATCCCGGGTTGGCTCGAGTGTGAGAGGCTGCCGAATGATGTTTCTCTCTCTTGCAAAAAACCTCCCCCAAACAAAAAACAAGAACAACTGAAGCACTAAACAAAAAAAAAAAATCATGTTTTATTTTTAAGGACACCAATGAAACTAAGCAGAAAATTTAAGCAGCTCTATAATGTAACAAAAATTCTGGGAGGGGTGTGGGTGGAGAGGATTCTGTTGTTGGTATCCATGGATGTAATGGAGAGACTGCCATGAGAGCCTCTTTTAGACAAACTTTAAAACTCCAGCCCATTTTTGTTAGTGAAAAACTCAAGACAGGACACAGATCAATAAAAACAAGGAAAAATACATTACAGACACTGCGCCATTGCAAAACTCTCATTATACATATACTTAGAAGTGGTATAATCAAAACGGGATTTCCTAGTTCTTAAAGGTTCACTGAATGATCCATCCTGGGTAAAAAATACAAAACTCAAAGACACCTCCCTCCCCTCCTGTAGAGTCACAATGTATTGTGAAGACTTCTATAATGTATTTTGGGTACTTATATAGTAAAAAACTTGTTTCTTAAAACTTATTTGGGCATCTACAGTTAAGGCTGGTATGTAAGTGATCATCAGGTGGATAATTACTAATGCACTGGTTTGATTCTTGCCTGTTAGTTTTAGAAACCACAAACTGATTATATTTGCAACCTTGAGGTGACTAACAGGAAGTATATACCTAAACTGAGAAGTGATTAATGGGAAACTGTGCCACCTCCAGAGGTAAAACTCCCAACTCTTTAATTATGATGTAGTACAGTTCAGATAGTCCTCGTGCTTCAAAGGTAATGTTCATCTTTACCATTCAAAGAGACCCACTCAAAGAAGGTCTTAAAGATATAATATTACACAGTTTAAACTATTCTCTTGCCTGTTCAAGAACAGAAAATTTGAAATTCCATACCTTTATGAGAAAACGAAGCACATACACAAAAACACGTATAAAGCAGACCCCATCTATGCAAGCTGTTTTTAACCAGAGCCAGCAAAAATGATGCAAGGAACACATTTTCTCAAAGATAACAGACTTCAGCCCGGCCGGGCGTGGCTCAGCGGATGAGCATCGACCTAGGATCCAGGCGATCGGGGTTCGATTCCTGGTCAGGGCGCATGCCCGGGTTGCGGGCTGCAGCCAATCAATGACTCTCTCATCACTGATGTTTCTATCTCTCTCCCTCTCCTTTCCTCTCTCTGAAATCAATAAAGATATATTAAAAAAAAAAAAAAAAGATAACCGACTTCAGGTTTATTTCTTAGGCATCTGATGAAAAAAATGTGACATGTTAACAGAAAAATGACTTTAAAAAGGCTGCAGGAGAAGCATGTTGTTGCTGAACCCTAAAATATGCTGGAGAAATTTTAAAAATACAAACCATACCTGCGAAATCGTGGTCTGTAGCCCCGATACATATTCTGTCTCACTGGTCTGCCTTGTTCTCCTGCACCCTGGTTGTCAGCACCCTGAAAAGACAATGGAAATCAAGCCAACTGGATCAGTAATGGAGTAAAAACCCAACAAGACAAATCCAAAGTCCAAATACAGGAGTTAAAAATAAATAAAACCATTTAGTAACTGTGACCATGCTAGCAACTTATTATTAGTCCTTTTGGTTCTTATTAGGACTTAAAAAAATGCTTCCCATTACAACTACTATAGGTCCAACATAGGCAAGACACCAAGAAAATGCCTACAATGCAATCCTCTCAAAAGTTACCACATACTGCTGCTGATTCTTTTCTGTTTTGGCGTAACTTACCTCCATCACTTCTCCCTGCACGGGAGGGTTGGAATACTGTGGTCGACGCCCGTAGGGTCTCCGCATGTAGTAAGGTGGGAACCGTCGCCTGCGATAGGGCCGGCGCTGTTGGGCCTGGCCTTCGGGAGCACTCTCCGATCCCTCATTCTTTTCCCCACTCTCACTATTCTGGTAATTCTGCTGGTAATTGCGTGGAGGACCCCTGCGACGTGGATAGCGCCTATAATGGTTACGGTCTGCTGCGTATTTACTGCCTTGTACTGGAACTCCACCAGGGCCTGTAACATTTGCTGCCTCCGCACCCTACAAAAAGCCATCATATATTGACAGTGACAACAGAATTAAGTACACTGAACACAAGTTACACAAAGCAAATAAAAAAGAGTCTGTGGTCAGGGGTGCATGGAAGTGATTGAATATTAGTTCCTCACTGTTCTGATGAGATTGCCCTCTAACTGCAGCCAGCACATTAGGCTTGATGCGCCTGTGTTCATGTGTTCACCTGACCCATCCATCCACATTAAAGCCACCATCCTAGTGGATGAGATCTCCAAAATATTTCCACACTGAAGTCAAACCTTTACACAAAAAGCATCCTCACCTTTTCTCCTTCAACAACATCAAACTCCACAGTCTCTCCATCTCCTACACTGCGAAGGTACTTCCTGGGGTTATTCTTCTTTATGGCAGTCTAGTAACATCACATTCCAAAAATAGATTAACAGGGAGAACAATGTGCTTTTTCATTTAAAATGTACCAGAGTCAACATTTCAGCTTGGATATACACTTAAAATTAGCTTTAAATAAGACCAAACCATCAATAAATTTACAAAAACAGGGACCAATACTACCCCCAACCTCAACCAAAATACTCTAGTCTTACAAGGCCCCAGCATTTTACCACTATTTTCCAAACTAAAACAAGTAATTTAACACTCAAGACACAATATATACATATTTAAATGCTTTTAGCAAAAGCATTGTATGTTGCTTTGAACAAAATGAGGATACCAATCTATCCCCCAAAGACTGCACTTAATAGTAGAAGCTAGCCCACACAGGGCCAGTTTAGATGACAGGCGAGTTTAGTTTTGCATGCTTCAAAGTTGACCAAACCAACTTTGTCCCTGTGTTACCATATCACACTCAATTACAAATATCAACCAAAATCCCTTCCAACCTGTCTGTGGTAATACTTCAATGGCATGTAATTCACATGTTAACTACATTATCTAACTGCATGGGACAGTTGGTTATTACCTCCCCACAATACAATAAATCTCACATTTATTTGTTCTCCAGACTGCTAGGACAAAGTAAAAGGGAAAGAATAATACCTCACATTGTGAGTAGTACTTCTACAAAGTTCTTTCACACATCACCTATTCGCTCTCATTATAACAGATGATGTGAGGTATTATCACTCCTTTTGTTTTAACAGATAAAAAAAGGATTTAAAAAGTTAGGTGACTTGTCCAAGGTCACACAGATAATAAGTGGCAGAATGTAGGGTTTTCTAAATCCAGCTCTTGGGACCCCAAATTCCATATTCATTCTACTACATCACAGCGGTATCCAATACAGGATCACTCACGCGTTTCCATTCCAAAGGAGGCAGGACAACCAACAATCTGAAGCTAATTAATAAGCTAAGTTGCTCAGAACTGCAGTCTTCTTGATTCTTGATACATCACTAAGACCTGAGCAGCCAAAGTCCCAAGAAACAAGTAAATGTTGAAACCACTTCCAAAATAAGGAGAGAATATTTGGTGACACCTTGTGCATCAGTACAAATGGGTGACACACGTTCAGCCAAATAATTGATCTCATCTGTCATCTAAACTGTCACAAAGTTTTCGTACCTTTCATATATAGCCAACTCTAAATTACCTGCAGTCATAGGGGATAGCAGAAGTATGGATAATTAAAACGCCTAAACTCTTATTTCAGTCAGCATCTCCAATGCCCTCCCCGATCTCCCAATGCCTTTAGTTGCTGACAGGCGAGCCTGATGAGCCTCGCTGTCTCTTGCTCCCGAGTCCGCATATTCCTTTGAACATGTGGAAGGCCAGTAAGGAACAGGTGGGAGTTGGCATTCAATTTTATAAAACACACACTTGTTTTAAAACATTTTGTCTGGGCAGTCCTGTTTATATTTAGAATTGAAATGTTTCCATACTCATATTGACCCTGTGATTGTCTGACAGGGCTTTGGATATACTAGAAATTGATCTGGCTTCCCCTTGATTGCCAGTGAATGCTGTCTAGGACACTCCAAGAGAGCTACAAAGCACCAGCTTAAGACAGCCCTTCCCAAGCTCACTGTGGCTTGAAAAAGACTTGTGTGGAAATTAACTTTAGTTTTTTGGTGTCCATATTATGGTAGGAAAAAAGTAGTTAAAAAAGTTCTTAAGAGTGATTTTCAGTTATTTCAACATTCCTAGTAAGGGAAAAAAAAGAACCACAAAGCACATAGTACACATATACCCTACCCACCGCATACCTGTGAAGACGTTCAAATCCACTGGAGTCTTTAATGTATGGGTCACTGAGATATTAAGTGTTCACTTGGTAGTGGCTTATGGTAATAAAGTCCTTAATGCTCAAGCATTTTCCAAAAATATTTTCATTAAATGGCACTTGAGAGAATTGAGCATGTAGAACCTACCCTGTTAGTTTTTTCCGTCTCAAAACACTAAAGTCAATCTGAAAATTATTTGAGTAATAACCAACTTTGCCATACTGCCTATTCATTTAGCCTTAAACTAGCAAGGATTTCTAAGAATTCCAAGCCAGTCAAATTTCTCCAAAGGTAAAAACATCTCTTACCCATTCAAGTGCCTTAGAATAAATAGAAGGGCCATGTTACTCTGCTAGTTTTCCAGCATTCACTTCAAATTAATGTCTTGCAGCTTTGTCTTACTCCCCCCATGATTACTGCGACCTGTCCTCACCATAGAGTTAAACCTAATAGCATTTGGAAACACCTTCAAGTTCAAGTTTAGGTTAGGGGAGGTTTTTCTGCTCACCTGAAATTATGTTTAAAAATTTAGTGTAATGACCTAAGCAATTCAACATTTTAAAAAGCTGTAACTATTAACAGAATACCACCAATATGAAACATCTATCTTAATTAAAAGTGAATTGCCAATGTTTCAATGTATACACTTAAGTATGCTACCACTCTTCCTATGGGAATTAAATACATTGCTTGGTGGTTGAATTTAACATTATTTTTGCAAGAATCAATAGTTGAGACCCCTCCCCCTTTTCTTCTCAAAAGCCTTAAGCCAGAGCATAAATATCCGTACAAGCACCCACCTGGTGTACAAATACATCTTCCTTGGTGTCATTCCTGCAAGACAGAACCAAGTTGAACAAGTTAGAAGTGGAATACACTTCATGTTGCCAGATTAAGAATACATCGAATCCTTTTATGCATCTCCCCCCACACCTATTTTTCCTACTATTAGAGACTTCCGGGCTGCCAACCAGCCATTAGGAAATTAAAAAATGAGACAAAACAATGAAAACAAAACTAGTAAGCCACTATGATTTCTGCTTTAAAGACTAAGCAGTTGCCAATAGTTGTTAACCTCATCACCTGTAGGATAAAACAAAGTCTAAGAAACCAAAGCGTGACGCACTAAGCCATTAAGAGGATCAAAGTGACTAGCAACATAGATTGCCACTCCTTATCCCACTAACCATTACCAATGTTCCAGCACACCCCACCATTCCCACCTCTAGAGCATGGGTGCAGGATGGTTAAGAATCTTGTGCATGTGTAAACATGGGGGATATGGGAAACTGTTTCCCGCTCAATATTGTCATGAACCTAAAATTGCTCTTAAAAATAAATTATTAATACTCCCCACCCCCCCAATGAAGTACCGACAGAGACACCACTAGTGTCATCATTCAGGCGGCAAGCATTCCAATGGAGAACTAAGCAGGTGAAGGTGAATTAAGCACGTCACTAGCACACACAGCCCCCCTTTCACCTCATGTTAGGCACCATTTCACATCAATCATTAGTCCAGTCAAACTACTGATGAATGGAGCTTCCACTATTACTTGCTTTAGGACTTTAAGCAAGCTGAGCTCAGACTGACTGGAGCATAAGTAATACGGCTGCGTGAGGATAAGAACAGGAGCTGAAAATCACGTAGATACAAAAGCTAGTACAGGCTTCTAGGCAGAGGAATGCGACACGATACAATTACTGGATATTAAAATCGAGTGGCTGCTATTACAGAAAGTTTGAAGCCAAGAAGTTAATTACAAAAGCTACTCCAGAATTCTAGACTAGGGGCTATGTGTGACTAAGTATATTTGATATGTCTTGAGGTAAAATGGGAAAAACTTTGTGGATAAATGGATTTTAACATTTTAAAGTGAGGGAAAGGTGGGGAATTATTTGTGATTTTGGTCTGGGGTTGGGGCTAAGGTGGTGATACCATGGAGCAAGAACCACTGGAGGAGAAACAGATTTCCAGACTGGTGGGGTTTGCCCACCCTCTTCATTCTGTTAGTAAACCAGAGCGAGAGGGGGCTCAACAGTTCTATTGTTTAATGACAAAAGAAACAAAAGACACAAATTTAGACTGAAAAAGTGAAAAGAAAAAAAAACAGGACAATTTTAAATCTTTAAAACAAACAAAAACCCACACACAAACTGCAAAAGCTATTCAAAGCATGTAATTGAAAGCTGACTTACAAGCTAGCTGAATATTAGGAACACCTAGGGAACTAATGGCTCGTTATAATGTCCATCTACAAACAGTTCCATAGCAATTACTAATTAGTTTTCATGTCCGGCATGATGAATTTTCAAGCTCTAAGGGGACAAACAAAAAATTGGTAGAAACTTAGAAAATTAGTAGAGAAAATAGGAAAGGTGGACAAATTCTAGAAGAGTGATTCCCAACAGGGGCAGTACTGGCCACCACAAGGCATTTAAAGTTGTTCCAAAGATGGGGCACTATTTGCATTATGGGTGAAGGATGTCACGCTTACTGGATGACTAGGTAAAGAATTATGTGGTATCCTACTTGACTTTCATGTAAGCAAATGTATTATTTGATTTCTGAACCTAGCATTTTTTTTTCCCACTCTTTCAATATGCATTAAATTTACTAAATAAGCACCTTCCATGGAGAGGGATTTTTAAAAAAATTACTGATGATAAATAATGCTACGAGTATCTGGGCAGCCAATACAGTGCCCTTTTTATCAATCCGTATTTGTGGCAGCATTCACCCTTTCTAAAGAAGCTGCAAATAGGTATTTACGTATCAAAACATACACTGCCATAAAAATAAAAGTCGTTCATAAATTTCATTTCAGGTTTATATTAGAAAATTTACCAAAACTACTTATCTAGTCAGGACAATCTTCTTAAAAATAGTACAAGGCGGCTCTCTGCTCCTCCTGCTTGACAGACAGCCACAACCCTGAGACATGATGGTGAAGGTCAGAGTGAACAGATTTGGCTGTACTGGGCGCATGGTCACCAGGGCTGCTTTTAACTCTGGCGACGTGGATCCTGTTGCCATCAATGAAGCCTTCATTGATCTCAACTACATGGCCTACATGTTCCAGTATGATTTTACCAATGGCAACTTCAAAGACACAGTCAAGGCTGAGAACAGGAAACTTGTCATCAATGGAAAGTCCATCTCCACCTCCCAAGAACGAGATCCTGCCAATATCAAATGGGGTGATGCTGGTGGTGAATATGTCGTGGAGCCCACTAGGTCATCATTGCTGCTCCCATGTTTGGGATGGGTCTGAACCATAGAAGTGTGACAACTCCCTCAAGGTTGTCACGTCAGCAATGCCTCCTGCACTACCAACTGCTTGGCCCCCTGGTCAAGTTCATCCATGACTACTTTGGTATCATGGAGGGACTTATGACCACAGCCCATGCCTTCACAGCCACCCAGGTCATCCCTAAACTGAATGTAAAGCTCATTGGCATGGCCTTCTGTCCCCCTATCCCCTATGTGTTGGTTGTGGATCTGACCCGTCACCTGAAGAAAGCTGCCAAATACAATGACATTAAAAAGGTGGTGGTGTCCAAGGGCCCCTTCAAGAGCACCCTAGGCTATCCTGAGGACCAGGCTTCCTTCTGCAACTTTTAATAGCAACACTAACTTTTCTTCCACCTTTGATGCTGGGGCTGGCATTGCTCTCCATGACCACTTTGTCAAGCTCATTTCCTGGTATGACAATGAACTAGGCTACAGCAACAGGGTGGTGAACCTTATGGTCCACATGGCCTTCAAGGAGTAAGAGCCCCCTGCACCACCAGGCCCAGCAAAAGAGGCCCTCGGCTATTGGGGAGTCCTCGCTCCAAATCGATCCAATACACCGAGAATCTCCTGACCTCCAGTTTCCATGCCAGACCTCCTGAAGAAGGGAAGGAGCTTAGGGAGCCGTACTTTGTCATGCACTATCAATAAAGTTCTCTGTACCCCATGCCCCAAAAGTGCAAGCAATACACACAAGATTAATGTCATCTCCTGGGCAACAGCTCAATTGGACCTCTGCACCTGCAGCTTCCACACTCCTGGATTCAACCAACCACGGCGCCCATGGAAGGGGGGGGTTTTGAGGGGAGAAGTGTTACATTGTTGCTGATGTATACTATGTAGGTAGGTCTACAGTGGTTGCCATCTATACTGAATGAACATATACAGACATGTTTCTTGTCACCATTACCTAAATACAGTATAATAACTATTTGTATAGCATTTACTTTATATAGTCATGTGTTGCTTAATAAGGATACATTCTGAGAAATATGTCATTAGGTGATTTTTGTCATGCAGAGTACATTTACACAAACCTAGGCTACAAATCTGTACAAGATGTTACTGTAGGCAACTATAAACCCAATGTAAGTATTTGTGTATTTAAACACAAAAGATACTGTAAAAATACAGTATAAAAGATAAAAAAAATGATACACCGACCATGAATGGAGCTTGCAGGAATGGAAATTGCTCTGGGTGAATTAAGTGGTGAATGAATGTAAAGAGCGAGGACATTACTGCCCACTACTTAGACTTTCATAATCCACGTTTTCAAACTTTTAAACAAGCTTGTTTGATGTCATGTCAGACAACACAGTACTTATTTATTCTGTTGACCCAAAACTAGCCTACTAGGAAATACAGGAGAGCACCCCTCCATCCAGTTTCCCTTTCCGTGGTCTGAAAATATTGAACGAAAAATTCCAGAAATAAACCACCTGTAAGTTTGAAATTACCGAGGTGTTCTGAGTAGTGTGATCAAATCTTATCTTGAGGAACTTGGAATGTATTCCCCATAGATAAGGGTGGGGTAGGGAGAGGGAGCTACTGCATGCACCATGATTAAAATGTATCTGGATCTTAGAAAGAAATCTGATAGCAACAAATTCAGTTTTTAGTCAAGACAGAATACTATGGTTTAGATGCATTAAATCAGTCTAAGCTGCAACTTGTTAAATGACTGCCCAGAAATTCCCGGCACCAACAGCAAAGCTGGCTTTTCATCCTCCCTCTACTATGAACAGCTGTGTGACCTGGGAAAGCTGTCTCCTCCTCACTGATCTTTTTCTTCACTTGCAAAATGGGAAAACTATACCAGATACATAACAGCTTATATTACTAAGGGTTTAAGTTCCAGATACAGTGCCAAATGCTTTAACTATCTGTTATCATTCAATCCTCACAATCCTGAGATAGATGCTATTATTAATAACCCCCCCCCCTTCTACAATGAGGAAAATGAAGCATGTGGTCATCTACTCACAGTAGAATTTGAATCCACAAGCCCTGGTCTTTACCACGTTGAGAACTCCAGAAGGACCAGTTGGGAAATCTTTAGACTTTACAGCTTTAGAGGTAGGTTACTGCGTATGGTTTCACAAGCATCCCTGATACTTCCTCATCTGCAGTATACAAAATTATTCTCCGTAATTAGACCAAGGTTTTGCT